TAAAGATGGTCTGCTTTCATTCCTGAGACATGTGCTAATCCATACCAGAATGGATTTTCTGCTGAAATAGAAGTCTTGGTTTTGTTGAGGAATATTTAGTAAAAGTCTGCAGATCTTGCTAATGCAAAGTGAAGTATGCTTCTAAATCACCCAGGCAACAAGAATTGTTTCAGTTACATTTCACTGATTTTGCCAAGAGGACCTGTAATATACTTCACATATTTCTGTTAAAGAACCACAAATAATTTAAAACACAGGAGGTCACTAAATGAGAAAATACAAGAATATTTAACAGCAAAAGATAACGAATGCTATGTGTGGTGGCAAACACTGAGTATAAAATGCAAAGTTTTCAGAGGAGGAGTTATCTTTGAATTTCTGTTTGGTGAAGCACAACTGCAATGAATATTTATTGCCACCTTATTTAGCAGCATGAACAAAAGGAACTGTTATAAATAAACAAATGCTATGACAGTTCCACTGCTGTTAGCTTCACGTTCTTGTCTGCAGTCAGTCAAACCAAAAGACAAAGCAATCAGTGAAAAGACAGCCAAATATCCAAATTCCAGAGGTTCTATTCTTGTGTTAACTACCGTCATCACTGATTTGTTCATGACTTGTGTGAGGAAGCTGCTGGTGAAATTTGACAGACATCGGCATGGCATTTGCATGCTTCCAGATTGAAATGAAGGCTTTTAATGCAAATTTACATGAGTTGCTTAATATTTCTTTAGCATATGAGTAAAACTTTGAAGGGGCTAAAATTCACAAAGCAGAACAATGTACACATAAGGAGATGCAATTAAGCAGTCAGTAGCGTGGGACACACACATGACATAGGAAGGCTGTCTTTTTACTTCTTGCAATGTCCTACTGGTGACTCTATCTCAATACCTCACCTCCACCCTTTAAGGATGAAACCACCTCTACATTGCAACTGTTCTGATAACAGCAGGTGACTCACTTCCAACCTATTTGTGCTCAGACCTAGTTTGACAGCCACTTTATTCTTCAGAGCCAGTAAAGCAAAACTAACTGTGTTGCTAACTTCATGAAAACCCACAGTGTATATTTAGTAACCCATATGCTCTGCAAGCAGGAACTTGGGTCAGAGGCATACTAAACCCTTTGATTCAATCCAAGTAATATGCATGTTTGTGAAGTATTTGCAAGGTCAGTATTTGACATCAAGAGGGGGTGCACATTGTATAGGTAAGCTCAGAGGCTTGGTGTCCCCCTCATCTCACAGCTGGCACTTTGTATGGCAGTGCATGGTCTCAGTGCATGTACACAGCCCCCTCTGTCTCTCTTGTTCACTTAGATCAGGGCTACATCTTCCCCTCAGGAATGCACTGGGAAGGCTGGAGGAGATGATATCCAGGAGTTTTACTCCAGTATTGCTACTAATTGTTGTCTTCTGAAATGTGTTGTCTGTAGCAGACTATTTGAGTTGGTGTTGGTCAAGGAGGGAAAACATAACTGGTACATTATACTGTGCCAGCAGGTTGGCCTACTTAATTCCATTGTATAGATCATAGCACAGTTTCAGAGAAACTTTGCCAGAAGTTGTATGTCCTGCATCGAAGAGACAAACTTTTCACACTGACTCTATGCAAATGTTTCCCCACAATTTCAGCTAAGCTTTGGGATGCCTACGCATGCATCACATCTGCCTACGTAACACTGACAAGTAAATCCTCAGTGCATCTGCCAAGCTCCACACCCAGGCATTCAGCTGGAAGTCAGTTATCCTCTAAAAACTTCTCCAACAAAAAGTGTGTTCATAATCAGTGACCTCACCGGAGTCATGTAAATGACCATGCTGATCATACTGCCAATGTGGCTCCATGTGGGTGCCTGAAAATCTTGGGGAAAATAAAAAAAGTGGAGAAGAAAACCCATTTAATTTAATTATTTAAATCCCAAAGCTAGTTAATTATACATTATTTTTCTCTGTACAGTAAGCCTATCAAGAAGATATTTTTCTCTCTACTGCAATTTCCTGTGGAATGGAAAGTGCATGCACATCAGAGTACTGGCCATCACACCAATGCTTGGCAGTTGTGACTCTTAGTGTCCAAGTTTTTTAGAAGTATAAATATATATGTTACATTGTCATATCACATGTATTTGTCATACTAGAAAGGCTTTGTTCCAACCCTGCTGTTCACTAAACAAGCTTCATTTTAGGATTTTATGCACTGTTTTCAACAACAATATTGAAACAAGTCTCTTTTTTAACATAATACAGTATCACAGCACCAAACAGACCATACCCATAACGTTTCTCTGGGCTCAGGACTGAAGTTCAGGCTAGAATGAATGAGACATTGTGTTTGTGACAGAAAAAAACCATAAATTTAAGAGGTCTTTGACTGCCAAGGTTTTGATTGTTGAATTCTTAGGACCAATTTCTAATGACACAAATACATTCCCATATAAATCTTCGATTCTGTTCTTTATGGAAATCTTTCAGCACTTAGGTATTCAGAGACAGTTTTCTTCCTTTATCATAAGCTTGCTTTTCTCAATGCCTGCATTCATTCTGTATTCATTCAAATAGCTTTTTCAGACTCAAAGAAGATCCTCCGAAGGGATATATTCTAAAGAAGCCAGAAAGTAACTTCCCAATACAGCTTCACACTTCTCCAGATGATAGTTTCAAATTAATCATCTGTTCTGGGGACAGCAGATGGAAAATAATGTTCCTGATAAAATGGGCCTAATGTGAGCTGAAGGACCTGTGCTGACTGCTAATTTTACAATAAATCCTAAGGAGATTTTTGATTGGATAAATGGGGAATATTGAAGTTTGCTGTCTGCAAAATAAATCCTCCCACTTCTTTGATTTTGAGGAACTTTGACCAAGCAGATGACTGTCCAATCTGCTTTCATTTTGGTCTCCTGGAATTTACAATCTGGGAATGACACTTGGGTTTATGTAACAATCTGATTTGAGTTCCACAACACAGCTCCAAATCCTAACATTCTTCCTCCTCAGCTGCCAGAAGGATAGAATATGGAAGAAGCTCTCACTTTCTGGGATACAAACAAAAAGGATATTATTGTACCTTAGGTACCTGAAAGCAGCCCTGCAGTAAGTTCCTGCAGTATGTCCTACCTAAACTACTTCTTCTGATGCTGTCTCCCTTTAGTATCCTTCGATTATCAGTTTTTATTTTTTGTCTTGTGTTTTACTTGCCCAGTTATATTTTGTCCAGAGTATACTTTTTCTGTTTCTTTCTCTTTCTCTTCTCAGGTCTTCCTCTTTTCCTTCCCCTCATACATCTTTCCTTTCCCAATTTCTCTGTTGCTTTTCTTTTAGGCTTGTCTGTTGCAAGTAGAACCTGTCTAGCATACAGCTAGACAAAAAAACATTAAATAATTTTCCCTAAAAATACAAACTCTCTTTATAGATCTCTTAATTAACCACTCTTATAACCATCTCCCTTCCTCCCTGCTCAGAAGCACAAAGCTTCTGCACTCCCTGCTGTCCCCTTTTTCCTGCATGCCCCCAGCACAGGCTGCTCCTGCCATAAGCCATCGTCTCTTTAATAGCAGCAGTATTATTTTTGGTGCAGCAGGAACTTCATCCTGCCCTAGTTCATGCAGTGTACTTTGCCTTCTTTCCTCCTTGCATGAGTTGTTGCTGCAGCTTATAATCACACGCACTCTGCTCCCCTTCTGTTACAGCTTCAAAGCACTCTAGATTTTTTCATTTGCCTCTCCTACAGCTCCAAGACACTGAGTGATGCAGAGAACCTCCTACAGCCAGAAAGTAACTGTGATTTTTAGCAATGATGTTTGCTCTAACTATATAAAGCACACTTAAGAAGACACATAATAAGTAGGTTGGAGGGAAGTGGTAGCAACCCACCCACTATGTTCCTTTTAGCTAACCCTTTAATTAAATATTAAAGATATGGTTCTCAGAAAGATTTAAAATAACCCTCTGACAGAAAAAAAGAGGTTAAAAACCAGCAGAAAATGCAATAACCCCCCCCCAAAGACTTACCACACCTTCATGCTGTCTTTAATATAATTTTACTGTGCTGATGACAGAAGAGCTTTTCTGAAGGGAAATAACAAACCTTATGCCTTCCAGTGCTATGTCACTCTCTATGTTCTCAGGGAGTTCTGCTAGGGATTATAAATTATTTGATGCTTAACTAAACATACCAGTTTCCTCTTCCATAAGGGAGAGCAAAGAAAGTTTATAAAAACTGAGAAAGTGAATTACTTGAAATGTTACTTCTCACTCAAAAGACAGATTCTGCTGCTAGATGCACAGAACTGATACACAGTTTGAGAGGAAAAGTAAATATATACACTGCTTATAGCCCTGTGTCCAAGTATAAAGCAGAGTGAGATAAATGACAGCAAGATCTGGACAGATTTGTGGTACGAAGCATTTCTCTTTGTAACTGAGTTAAGGCACATCACAATCGATCAGAGGAGAAAAAGAAGTGACTGCTGATGGAGATCAGAAGTGCAAGAAACCAGGTATGCCCACAAACCAGGTGGTCTAACCTGCATATTCCTTTTAGTGAAGGCTTTGATTATTTTTCTCTGTATCTAGCTGACAAAGCACAACAGCCTGACTAAGCAGTGTTTTTGCACCAGTACTGCAAGAATATCAGCTCTGCTGCTTCTTCTCTTGTGTTTGAATTTCATTGTACTGCTTTTGTTCTTCTATGCTGCGTGTAGTTTTAAATCAAACTTCAGTCCCCTCTGTATAGTCTCCAATGTTGCTGTAATACAAACAGAAACTGGTCAACCATTTTGATTTGTTCTCATGTTAGCCATATAATGGAAAGTGCTTCCAAACACACACTGCCTTCCCCCTCCAAATCAGTCCTACAATCAATATTGTCCTACTTTCAATTAAAAAGCACCACCACAACAGATACATCTATATGGTGCTTAGAATCTCACAACAGAAAACCCATTACTTTAAATACAAAAGCTGGCCAAAATGATTGAATTCCTGAGGCAACAGAAATAATATTGGTGATTTTATTCAGCACATGTCCAATATGATTTTCCATTTGGAATCCACATTTTTTAATGCTTTTCTATACCATTCTTAACATTACCTTCCGTTTTTATGGAGTCCCTTAGAAAGTTGTTTTTTTCAATTTTTTTACCAGAAAACTTAAATTTTAATGATTAAATAATAGGACATTTATATACATCAGTGGGTTTTCTCAGATACTGGGCTCTAAGTACATACAATGTCTATTGAGTGAAAATAAAAAAGAAAAATTTCAGTCATGCAAATCATCTTACAAACCATGTTCCATTTGACTTGAAAATTTTTACTCTGTTACTGGCATATAATTTCAAAATTAAACAGATAAAATTTTAAGGTTACTTTGTCCATTTCCACTCATTTATTTTGCTGTTTTGAAGATCTGACAGGCCACATACTACTGCAGAAGGTACCAGCAAGGTAATCATTGTTCTGCTACCACCGACTAACCCCTCTGAGCCCTGGTGCGGATGTGTTTTAAAAAACCACCTAACCTTCAGCTAACCGCACTAGTTTACTTCTGAACAGCACATCACAATATCAGCAAAGAGAGCACACTGTAACTGGCTGGGTGATTCCCCTTAATAATTTTTCAACACTAGGACCTTTCAGCATTTTAATTCTGGTTTCATTTATGAATTAAAGGTCATATATAGAGCACAAATGAAGTCTAAATTTAGTCACAGCAGACCACAGTTCCACATAAAGACAAATCTTCAAGTTATGTTGACCTGCTAGGAGACAAAGATAAACAGCACAGCAAACATGTACCTGCAATGCACTGCTTCCCTATTAAATATTAACTGTTTCACTTACATTTAAATGAACTGAGCAGTAATGGATAGACTTTCCAGTACTGCTGTTTGGTGCTGCTGTCATGGAAAGAAGCTGAAAACAATGTGGGCTGTATGGGGGCAAATGACACAACTCAGCATCCACTCAAGTGACTTCAATGATGACCATTCTCCAGTCTTGAAATACAATCCCACACAGCATTTTTTTCCTCTCCCTCTGAAAATACATCTGTTCATAAATAACTTAGATGTCTCCTTGACATTCATGTTATGTAACTGAAGCTGAAGTAGAAAAGGATGGGCGGTGTACAGCACTGAGGAGATGTCACAGTACTTTTGTTCAGCATTTTTGTCAAGTGCAGGTTGCTAGCATCAGCCATCAGAGACAGGTGGAGTGACCCACCCATATTTTTCATGGGTCTTCACCAAACTCTTAAAAGTTGCTTCAGCTTCCTTTCGACTGAATGACTTTTTTGATTTGCCAGCTTTTCTGGAGATACGGCCCTGCACCAAACACAGAAAGAAAACCTTCATTAAAGACACGAACACACATCTGGAAACCACAGCTTAACTTTTCAACTCATCAGGTTGAGAGGCATTCACTTATGGGTTCCAGCAAGCATAGTTCCCAAACTTGAGCAGACAAAATGCATTATTAGAGAGGATTTAAAATTATATTCTGTGAACGGGTAAAAAGGAGGGAAAGGAAAAAAAAATTAAAAAAAAAAAGGTGGCATCTGCTGCTGTTTTTTCCCCGGCGAATCCCAGTGCTGGCATGCTGCCCCGCTTACAGCAACCCACGGCGGCCATGCCTCAGGGTTCGCCTCCCTCTCCGCTGCTTCTGGACAACTCTGGCATTCCGTGTTTGGCGTGAGGCCCCTCATGCTCACCCCTCCTGCCTCTCCTGCCCAGCTGGGGGAAGCCCTGGCAGACAGCAACTGCCCGGGCACGGGCGCTCTCAGGGCTGCCAATGCCTCACTCCCCACTGCCACCGCGCAACGACACCAGAAATTACATCCATCCCACAGAACATACTACATTCCTCTTCCTGCAACCTACCCCTGAGAAATTAACACCTCTGCCCTTTCTAATAGGAGTGCCTTAAACCAATTTGCTTCCACCTTAAATTGAAAGTTCTAATTTGTTTATTACCCCTTCATGCCAAGTTTGATAATGAATGAAAATATACTTATTTGCATATACTGCATTTTTATTACACTGCTAATAGATATTACTTCTAACAACACAGTTGTATGAATATTCAAATTCTTGTTTGGCAGTAGAAACTTTTACTGAGTTGTCAATAGCTTACCTTATTTTTCACACTGGTCTGTGTCAATTACCAACCAACAGAGACACAAAAAAGAATGATCACTGCAGATTAATACCACTCTACAACAATTAATACCTTTAAAAAAAATAATTAAAATAAGTACATTTAAATTATTTATGCCTACTGGATTTATTACAAAAAAGAAGCTTATTAAAGTCACTAGTCTAGTAAATTCAGTAATTGTTTGATAGATTGCACTGAAAGCCTTTCAAATACAATCAGTACAAATCAATACAAATAAATTGTATTTGATGAGTGGACACCATATTACAGTTTCACAATTATTAAGAACCAAGTTAGTATGTTCTCATTTTTTCTTTTTCTTCCCTGATTTCCCTGTCAATTTGGAATTTAACCCAAAAATTGGCATTTGCAATAGCATGCAATAAATACAGAGAAAATAGTCAGGTGTATAGAGGGAAGAAAAGGGGGAAAATGAGAAAAAAAGAAAACAAAATCTGTCCTCAGAGTATCAAATTTACGTTTACAGACTAAAATGAGTAAGATTAGCCTGCAGTGTGGACAAACAATTTCCTTCTAGAAAGCTGTCACAATATTGCAGAGGCTCTTTTGTGTGCAGCACTGCTCCTGTTACAGCAAAACTATTGACACATGAAAGAAAAAAGCTGTTTCCTACTCCTGGTTTAACAAATTATTTTTTGGTGCAGTTTGAGTTGTCTCTCAGAGCATACCTTAATGAAAGATTACAAACAGCCTCCAGTTCCCACCTGGATTTATTCACAGTCAATTTATACCCATTTGTTTCTCCCCAAAACAGCAGTTTTACCAGTTGATGCTTTCCCTTTCTTTTCTCTCTAGCTGCCATTTACAGACTAGAAATCCATTTCCTCTTTAAACCCCCTTGATAGACCAAACAGCAAGACACTTTCTATGTCTCCACACAAATTTGACAATTAGTATGTCCCAAATAAGGATGATCAATGGTTTTCAATTGAGTCCTGCTCATAAATTTTCTTAGAAAATGTTCATTTTTATTTGTGACAGATGGAATAATTAAATAAAGCTGGGTAACATATTTTTAAAATCTTATTGAATAATTATCATACATAATTTTACCCATATATGATTATCAATCATAATTATTCTGTGGAAGTATTTTTGTTGTTACAAAACATTTTGTATTTTCTTCCTAATCTGGGGTTTTGTTAGAAGATAGAAAAATATAAAATAAAGTAAAACAGAAGATTAAATCAGCACAGAAAATTCTGTTCTCAAAATCTCACTAAGTACTTTTGAAAGTAAATATAAACTTGCTCTGCTGCTTAATTTCTAGATTAGATCCATTTGCCATCTCCTGTGTTTTGCACATTATCTTTTATCCTTTAAGGCTTTGATACCCTTCTGAATTATATGCATAGCATCTAGGACAGCATGATTCACATCTTCCCCAGCTTTTACGAAGTATTAATACAAAGTTGTATCTAGAAATAGAATCTTTCCATTGTGAACAGCTCATGCTTAGTGTTGACTATGTACAACTTTCAAAGCAGGACTGTAAGAATTCTCTGGTGTTGTAATGATGTAGTAAACATCACGACATCATGTAAAATGTTACTGGAGCCATATCAGGAAGGATATATGAAAGGAGCATCATTTTATGAGTTTATTCTGAAACCTTTCTGTTATTAATGCAACAGATCATTAAATCTACTTCCACTCTGGTACCATATACAGATTGTATGTGAACTGCGCCATCAAAACCAGCTGATTCTACCAGGCTACAACCCAGTACAGTGTTTCTGTGCTTATACAGAAACTATGAGTGGCATGGTCAGCACTATCTCTTATCAACCAATATCCTGCCAGATGTTTATAATCTGGATAAAATTTAACCTCCTAGACTGGAAGTTTCCCTATTTGCTGTCTCAAATAAAGCTGAGGTAAAAAAGAAAGAAGGCTGGAAATTCAGCTGACTACCTTCAGACACTTTCAAGCCTGGGTGCTATCTACTGTCTTACTGATTTTTAGCTTTCTGCCATTCCCAAAAATTTCTTCCCAAGTTTAAGTAAAAACTGTCATTTTACATTGCAATTATAGAAGAAAGTGTCAAATGTTTCACCAGGCACTGCTACCAGCCCTGACTACGGTTTATTTTCACCCTGCTACTCGAACATGCAGTCAATTTAAATCTGGACAGGAACCTGTAAGCTGCTGAATTCTGTAAACATGGTAGTGATGGTAAATACAGCATATAAATCTGTGTTAGCCACAGCTCTGTTGGGCATAACTGCATTTTGACCAATCACCAAACCACATGTCACTACTTCTGGGGTAAGGAATGTAGATCATTTGCATGGCAGATGTTTTTTGTTTTGTCCGACACCACATCAAGGAAAGACATCAAACTGGTATCTGAACAAGATCAAAACATTCCATAAGAGGTTAAAAACAACAGCAAAAACCCAAAGCCTTTCATAAAGATATCACTGTCTACTTCAGCTCTGAGAAGTCGCACCAGGAGAGTATTTAAATACTTGCAATACTTTCAGACAGTTACAGAGTGCCTGAAAGCGCCCCCTTCATAAAGGGATATCTGAAAACCTAATTAAGGAATTGGAGAGAACATTTCAGATTTTGCCATCTGCTGTGACTTCATGTACTTATCAAGATATAATTTTAACAAGCTAGAAACATATGAAAGGTGAAAGCAATGCCACAGCACCCAACTGGTTTTTGTGCAGCCATGCTGAAGCACAGGGGGGATGTGTGCTGCACTCAGCCTCCTCCCTCACTCGTGCTCCTGCTGCAGCCAGCCTGCGTGGCACACTGAGCAATCACATGCCACTCATCCAGGCTTTGCTCAAACTAATGAGCATGCACAAACAACTGATAAGCATCCAGTCTATAACCCTGCTAATGGTGGGCAGAAAGACCTCCTGGAACACAATCTGCTGCAGGCAGCCTTCTCAGAACCCTGGCCGAACTAAAGGACAACCAACCACTCCCTCCTGCCATTGGGTCCAGCAAAAGACCCGAGGTGAATCTCACCTGGGTGTGCTCTTGATTTGTCCTCCTGTCCTGGTTTCAGTTGCAATAGAGTTAATTTTCTTTCTAGTAGAAGTGGTGGTTTGGATTTTGCATGGGAATAATGTTGATAACACCCTGTTTTATCTGATGCTGAGCAACACTTACACTAAGCCAAGAATTTTTCTCAGTGCCTTGTGCTCTACCAGTGAGCAGGTGCACAAGAAGCCAAGGGGGAATGTGGCCAGGACAGTGAGCTGAACTGGTGAAAGGGATGTTCCACATCACGTCCACTGTATTAACTGGGGAGAGTTGGCTGGGAGGGGCCAATCACTGCTTGGGGATGGGGCTGGGCATGTATGGCAGTGGGTGGTGAGTAATGGTATTTCTTGTGGTTTTTTGTCTGTCTTTAATTACAATTGGGATATTTTGTTATTATTATAACTATTAGTATTACATTTTACTTAGTTTCAATTATCAAATTCCTTATCTCAACCCACATTTTTTTCTTATTCTCCTCCCCAGACAGCCAGGGGATGAGGTGAGGAAGTGACTGTCATATTTACTTGGCAGCTGAGGTTAAAACATGACACGTTCACAATTATGGATCTCTTATGGATGGGCAAATCTGGGTGCTTTTCCACTTCCAAGTGATGTCACACTAGTCTCTGTGAACACATCCCCCCTTCATAATACTGTGTGTCACTGAAGCACATCCTCAAAAATTTTCAGCTCAATAACTATTAGCTCTTTAAAATCTGCCAGTACCACTATCAGCAATGTGCCATGTCAATTATTCCCCAGCATCACCAGACCGCAAAGCAGTCCAAAGACAGAGTTAAGTCCTGTACAGAAACCAAATATGAAGCCTGAAACTCTTGAGCTCACTATGACCATACATTTATCCATACCTGGCCTATGTTGTCATGAAAAGAAGTGTTGATATTTCTTCTGGTCCTTCCAGTCAGGACAGCCTCAAGAGGATTTCTCTGGACAAAGGGAGTTCCCTCTCTTGTCAAATAAATGATAGAAGCTCCCAGATCCAAACCAAATAATTTCAAAACAGTACCAGGTGTGCTTCCATATGTGTCCTGTTGGAACTCACTCCTGTTGGAAGGACAGGACTATGTAACAGAGACCAGTCTTCCACAGGATCATTCAATCATCAAAAGTACTGTCTGGAAGG